GCACAGACCCCCACGGCCCGGCGGCGCACAGCGCGCGGAGTCCGTTCTGGCACACACGGTCCGTCCCGGCCCATAGGCTCCATCCTGGCACGTATGATCAATCCCGGTGCGTGGGGTCCGTCCTGGCACACAGGGTCCGTCCTGGTGCATGAGGTCCATCCCAGTGTGTGGGGTCCATCCCGGCGCACAGGTTCCATCCTGGTGCACAGGGTCCATCCCAGTGCAGGGGGTCCATCCCAGCGTGCAGGGTCTGTCCCAGTGTGTGGGGTCCATCCCAGCGCACAGGCTCCGTCGCGGCGCGTGGGGTCCATCCTGGTGCATGGGGTCCATTCCAGTGCACAGGTCCATCCTGCAGCCAAAGGTCTGACCTGGCACGTAGGATCTGACCTGGTGCTGAGTCAGGCTGGAGCTGCGGAGCCTCATCCCGCCACCCCGGCATGACGCACCTCCTGGGCAGCCCCACCTGCATGGACAGCCTGAGGGCTGACATCACGGACCTGCAAGGAGCCATCGCCGACGTCTTCTCCCGGGCTGGGGCTGTTCGCTACCCTTCCTGGAAGTTCCCCGATAAAGTATCCTGCGAGCTGGACCTGGTGGAGCTGCTGGAGCGCTACGACTACGTGGAGAACGACCTCGAGTTCACCCAGCATTCCCACGTGGTGCTGCTGGAGCTGGTAATCGACAGGTGAGAAGAGAAAACAAGCCCAAACCATCCCCTACTCCTTTTAAAAGAAGGCTGGTTGGTCCAGTGGCTCCTTCCCTTTGGAAGGAAGGCAACATTTCTGCATCCAACCTGTCAAACGTGTCCACATAGCTGCATTTCTGCTTGGAGACAGGTGCTGGCACACCTGCAGTTCGAAGGGTGGGATTTGTGCTCCAGAGCCCAGCCCACCTGCGCTGAGTGTTAAAACTCAAGTCCTTTTCCTTGCCCGGGTGGGATCAGAGCTACCGGGAAGGCACTCTGGGCCCTGATGCCATCATTATGATCAACATTGGGGTCTGTGGATCAGTTGGGACTCTCAAAGGCCTTTAACCTTTTAGAAAGTTATTAAGCAATGGTTGTTGTGTGGTCCCTGGCTTGGTGCCCGTCTCATTAAATAGCCCCCCAAAACCCTGGGAACGCTCAAACCCAATCGCAGCTCTACCTGGGAGAGCCTGGGAGGCAAAAGTGCCCTTTGCGACCTGGGTTAAGTAAAATAATACTCAATTTTAAAGACAAGCTGTTCATGCAGAGCTGCTTCTGGATATTTGGCCTTGATGTTGGCAGCCTTAGTGCCCCAAATCTCCTGGAATTGGCTGACTGCACCAAGAGTACGTCCCCCTTGAGTAACCCCCTGCAAGCAGAGTGCACGGTCTGCATCTTTGCGGCTGCCTGAGGATTTTAATCCCACCAAACGTTGCTCCATTGAGCGATTCAGGACAGAGGAGGGGAGCTGCGTGGGGGCTGATATCCAGCCTCCTTGGACCAACTCAGACTGTGCAGGGAATGGGGAGGGAGGAGAACCTCTGCCTCAGCCCTGGCCCTGCACTGTTAAACGCCAAGGGCCCTCTCCCTGTTCCAAATACTCTGTTGCGCTAAGCTGTGTTTCGTTTCTGTCGAAGAAGGCTGCTCCTGCTGCTTCAGAGCTTCACAGGCTATGCAGAAAACCTGCTCAGCGACAAAGCCATCCCCCCAGCGCAGGCAGTGGGGCCCTGCATGTCGGCGGGGCTGACGGTGCGGAAGTACTGGAACAGCATGCTGAAACTGGGAGCCCTCTACAAGCAGCTCCTGACTGAGGTGGGACATATGGGGGCCCTCAATTGCCATGAGCCGAGAGCAAGGCTCACAGAAATGCCCCTTGCCTCAATCCCCCCTGGTTCAGAAGCTGCCTCAGGCCTGCACGCAGCATCGTGCTAAGGTCACAGTCCTCTGGGATGCCACCTGATGTGTGGTGGTGCAGGGGTGACAGAGCAGGAGGGAGCCCTGCCCTGGCAGGTGGCGTGGTCTCATAACAGGTCTTCTGGCTTAACCTTGAGACAGTGCACGGAGGCGTGAAGGAAGGGACAGTAACCAGCGCAGGAGCTGGGAAGCAAATTTCATGGCAGACGCCTTCCACTGTGAAACCACAGCCTCCACCTGGCTAAGGTATCAGTGGCTGAAAAGCTACCCAGCAGCTTTTAAAATTCAGTTCCCTGGCTTCCTCCCTCAGGGAGTACCCAGGATCTGCGTGAACAAATTGATCTTTTGTTCATTAGCCATTTGTCTTGGTTGTAATATATGGATATGTAAGATATTTAAGATATGGAGCACAATAAATAGGAACCCCCAACTGCTTGGTAACGTTGTTCTTCCCCCAAGCTCCTGGAACTTCCCTCCTTCCAAGAGAAGGCCTCACTGCCCTCGTAGCCATTTGGCTGCGCTCTCACTGATGTCCCATTCCCACATTTAACACCTTTGCATTCAGGCTGATCTGGATCATTTGCAGCTGTCTTGGTTGCACTGTTCAATCTGGGCCCTATGTTTTTCTTCTGTGCTCTCTCCCCCAGAAGATGACTTGCACAAAAGACATCTCCACACTGAAATCTACCCCTGAGGGTGTGAAAACTGAGAAGGAGCATTTGAAGAGCTGTTCACCTGCTGTTTCGGAGTTAACCTCATCCATAGATATTGCCCAGTCAACCTCTTTGTGCCTGCTGCAGAGTGTCAGCGTGCCAGACTGTGACACCTCTGGCAACTCGCTTCCCAGGTCTACATGCAGCCGCAGCATCCCCACACAGACAACTGAGTCATCTCTGGTACCCTGTGACTCGTGTGCTAGTGCACAAGCCAGCCTCCGGGAGGTCAGCAAAGCCATCACCGGCATCTGCCAGAGTCAGAACATCCCCTCGGCTCTGAGCAGATTCCACGAGACATTGGAGGAGACCATGGGTAGAAGGACCCTCTCTGCAATGGACATGAGTTACTGGGCCTCAGAACAAAGCAAGGACCTCTCCCGGATCAGCAAACATCTCCACATGCTGCTGCAGCTGATAAACCCTCTGAAGTCAAAGCTGGAAGAATCAGAGAAACAGAAGGATGAGCTGCAGAAGCAGGTTGAGGAATTTGCCAAATTGCTTCAGGAAGAGAAGAAAACCCAAGAACAGCAGAGGAAGGAGGCTGAGCAGACCCTGGAAGTAAAGAAGAAAGAGTATTTGGAGACTGTAGTCAAACTGGAGCAGGATAAGGAGGACCTACGGAGAGGTACAGTGTTGTTTCCAGCATCCCCTCCTGGGATTGTGGGGATTTGCAGGAGAGCCACAGAGCCCATGATCAAGTCATGGTCCCCCTGCAATGAGCAGAGCTTTTGCCATGGATTTTGATAGGCCCAAGTGTCATCAGCAAATGCCTGTTCATCACTCCTCAGCTTTCAGGTGTTTTCTCCATGGTCCTGTGGCTGAGAGACCCAGAGAGAAGCCTTACTGTGGACTTTCCTTTAGCATGGAAGTTTCCTCTTCATCTATCCCTTGACAGCAACTCTTAGGAGCTCCTCCCTGAAGCAGATAAGGGTTGGTGCACTGGAACCACTGCTTTTCCTGATGTCCTGATCATCTCCCACCTTCCTTTGCTGAAGCCCTCCGTCCCCACTCCTCACTCTCTCATTTCCACCTCTCTGCAAACTCTCCATGCCCTGTCACTATATAGCATCTCGGGCCTGGTCCCTGCTGTGAGACACTGTCCTCAGACAGTGGAATGGGTTGTCCGTGTCCTTTCATTGACTTCTCTCTGCTGAAGCACAGCATGATACTGTTACTGGATGAGGAATGCTTTGGCGTAGTCATTTGCTACCTGCTTGTTTTAGTTTCATTGAAGAGCTGTGAAAAGTTTAGCTGAGTTTTCTCATTGGTTTAGGAGCTGCTCTGCTGGAAGAGCGAATCTCTACCTTAAAGGAAGAGCTGGCTGCTAAGCAAGCTACTCTGCAGGAGCTGGGTAAGGATCCCTGAGGCTTCATCCAGCTGGCAGATCTCATCCAGAGATCTTGCTCTGATCTCACACTTGTTTTACACATATGTAACTCCTGGCTTTCCTGGAATTGCTCGTGCTTAGTGTTGGTAGGAATGAGAGGAGAACCGGGCCAGAGTGTGTAGATGGCCTCCATCATTACATTGACATCTAGTGCTAGAGTGGGCCCTCTGGGACAGCCAGGGACAGCAGCAAGGTCCCCAGCTCTTCAGACCCACAGCAATCACCAGAGAGTGTGAAGTCCCAGGGGGAAGCCTTGTGCCTTGTAGGGCTGGAAAGAAGCTGTGTGACAGTGGGATCCATGCTGGCTCATCCTGAGTCCTGCTACTGCCTGCTCAGCATGCTCAAGAGAAGGAGCTCTGCCACCCAGCCAGATCACCACCCAGGCAGCTGTAGCAAGGGGACCCGTGTCTGCAGGAAAAGGAGTAAGGACTCCAGGCCGCTAACATGCACCCTTCACAGCTAAACATGCTCTAATCTTGCAGCCTGTCTGCCAGGTTGTGCTTGTTGGGCTGTGCTGGTGCTGGCTGGGATTCAGTCTCCAGGACACCAGGGGAGCACAGCCCTCCTTTCAGACCTGCCTCACCCCCTTGCCAGGGCCTGTTGAGGGTGGAGGGCCCCATAGCGGCACCTTGTTTCTGGGAGCTTCTCCGCCTCCTGCCCAGCCTGGGCTAAAGGTGCTCTGTCTCCCCAGAGGCGACCAAGAAGACCCTGCTGGAGGACATGAAGACCAAGATGGTGGCCAAGAACCAGGTGCTGGAGCTGGAGGAGAAGGTACAGCTGCTCACTGGCCAGCAGGAGGGCATGGGCCAGGAGCTGAGTACTGTCACCACTCAGCTGGAGAAAGAGAAGGCCAAAGTGGAGAGTATGCTGAGGCACGAGGAGGTACGACCAGGCCTGCTGCTGCCAGCTCTCCCCCACTCCGGGGCTGCTCTGTCCTTCCCACTGTCGCAGTCCTTCTCCCATGCCATACACCCATGCTGCCTGGGTACAGGATGCCTGTGGGCTGGCTGGTTTAAGGCCAGGGTGTAAGTGGGGAAGGTAAAGAGATCTCACGTGTCGTCCTGGGCCGCGGTGTGCCCTGATGTGCCCATCCTCAGCCAGCACCAGTGAGGGGGCTCGGCACAGCTTTTTGTGCCCTAGCAGTGCTGTGCTCTGGCTGAGCCCTCCTTACCTAGTGCTGGCCTGGGTTATGACTTACCTTCCCCAGTGCTTCTTTGCTGCCTGCTTAGCTGCTGCCTCAGCCGTTGTCTTCTTGGGTCCCTGCTTCCTTGTGGCCCCAGGGTGGAAATGCCTGTCCTGGCTTAAAGGCAGCAGAGACCTGGAGCAGCTGTTTCTTGCGTGCTTGCCTCTCCCATGCAGTCCCTCCAGGCCAAGCAGAGAGCTCTGCTGCAGCAGCTGGACAGCCTGGACCAGGAGTGTGAGGAGCTGCGAGCCAGTCTGGGAGAAGTTGAGGAGGACAAGGCCAGGCTGGCAGAGCAGCTGAAGGAGAGCCAGGACACAAGGGAGCAGAGCAGGTGCCAGCTAGAGGCACAGCAGGTCAGCATTGGCATCCAGCCTCCAGGAGCGGGGCACCCTTTCCTGGGTCAGTGGGCTGGAGCGGGATGTAGCTGTGCCGAGGGGGTGTCAACAGCCACCCTCTGTCCCATTCCCCACCCATTGCTAGGGACTTCCCAGGAGGGGGCCTCCAGGACGATGTGTGACATTGCCCTGGCTCCTGCCAGGTGGCCATCTCCACCCAGCAGCCACCTTGGCAAGACCCCTCTTCCTTGCGCAGCCCTTGCGCAGACAAATCTGCTGATTTTCCCCGGGGGCTAGGCAAAGGGGAGCAGCAGGAACCGACTCCTCAGACAGCTTCCCTATGTTTCCAGAGTGTGTGTTCCTGGACGTGCACGATATTTCATGGTTGGACTCCTGTTTCAAACTCACACAGGGACGATTATAGCTGAGACCCTGCAGCTCCTCACGCTGCTGTAGGACATCTTTATCCCACAAGGAAAGGGAGCTTTTCCTGGGAGCTGTGTAGAGCTGCATTTTGAACTCTGTGGGCCTCCCCCAGATTGCACTGTACTGGGCTTTGGGAGGGCGCTCTGCAAACCTCACTGTCTTTCTGCTGTGCGCCACAGAAGCTGCTGGAAACCCTGCAGCGGGAGAAGCTGGGCCTGGAGCAGTCCATCTCCGAGCTACGCACAAACATCTCTGGCCTGGAGGAGCTGATTCGGGAGCTGAAGGAGCGGGAAAGGCTCCTGGTGTCCTTCCCAGAGCTCCATGTCCCTGTTGAGACACAGTTTGAGAGTAAGGGAGAGGAAGGTGTGGAAGGCAGCAGGCAGCGGTGGAGGGGAAGCTCCCACAGCCTCTCTGCCCCACTACCCACTTCCCTGGGGCTCACAGGGGATCATGTTGGCCTCAGACTTGTCAACATTATTTGAATAGCTCAGGTTGTCCCACTAATATGAGCCAGTGGCAGCTGGGAAGGGTCCAGTCCCTGGCTGTGCTAAGCTGGTACCAACAGAGTTACTATTCTTCGCAGCCCTCCTCCTGAGCCTTCCCTGCCTGCAAAAGTCAGGACTTCTCTGACTGCCTCTGGGCCAGTAAATAAAGCAAGGCCAGGGCACAGGCTTGGGGGTGGTTGGGTTTTTCCTGGCTATTTCATTGCCGGCATGCTCCCTGGCACAGTTGTGGGTCCCCGCTGCCACCTCCTGGACAGTGCTCGTGCTCCCCAGACTGGGAAAGCCCGTTCCCAGTGGGCAGCGTGCCTGGAGCCACCCTGCTTGGCAGGAAGGAGGGCTGAGCATGGGGTCCTGGGCAGTATAGATGGAGCCTCTGCTGCATGGTGCCCTCTTGTAGAGGGTGTCTGCTCCCAGGAGCGCATGAGGGTGGGAGAAGCACTTCCCTAACATCACCAGCTAAGGTGAGGAATTTGGGAGTCGAGGCTGGACTCCTTTTGAAGAAAGAGCTGCCTGTCTCTCCTCCGTGTGCCATCAACACCTCGAACAAGCAGGCTGTCGGCAGGGAGCTCCTGTCATGAGGGCACTCTATTTCGTTTGCAGCCACTGGGAACTTCACTGAGGACATGGAGAAGCAGCTGCAGGCCAACAACATCAGGCTCAGCGTCCTGGAGCAGGAGAACGCGCGGCTCAGGGCTGCGCTAGCCAAGGTGAAGGTGGCAGCTCAACAGGGAGTATTGAAGGTGAGACTGCACCCAACTCAGGGTGCTCCTGAGAGCTGGGTGTCATGGTGGGGAGAAGGCATACAGGCACCACTGGGGCACTACTTATCCCAGGACCGTTCCAGGCCGTGCACAGGGACTGGAGACCACCCCCTTACAGGCAGCAGGGCTGGGGTGCACCTCAGCTGCCATCACATCAGCAGCAGCACGGCCTGTCCAGGGCAGTCTTGGAGTCCTGCGCTCGCTGCAGAGGAAATGCAGACATCTGGCCCACTGATCCTGCCTTTGGGAACTCGTCTGAGCCGCAGGGCAGCTGAACCTGGTACTCCTGTCTGATGCTTTCCAAGGTGGAGTGCCTAAGGTGACGCTGCGGGCATCGCAGCACATGCAGTGCCTGCTGCTCACAGGTGCTGGCAGCCTGGCCCTTGTGCAAGGCTGCTCTCTCTGCAACCGTGGCCAGCGGCAACAGGGTCATTCACTCGCTAGGAGCAAACGGCACGGAGCAGGGCAGCGCAGGGGCTCGCACTGACAGCGTGGGAGCTGCGGTTGGAGCAGCCTTTCCGTCCCGGAGCAGTCTGCTGTTGAAGCACGTCTTGCTCCAGCTGGGAACAGGGCCTGGTGCAATACGCTGCGATGCCATTCCCCTGGTTCAGTCCTTCCCGCTCGGATTCACTAGGTTCAGGCCAGCTCGTTGTTGCAGTGTTTTGGGGAGGGAGGAGTCGAGGGGATCAGCCTCAGCTCAACCTCCAGCTGCTCACTGGAGAAGAAAGGCTGTCATCTCTTGGGGCTGCGAATTCCCCACCGGTGCTACTGCTGCCAGATCCACTTCTGAGAGGTACCGCTGGGCCAGGCAGGGACGAGGGCAGAGCCCAGGCGCCTCTGCAGAGCTCTCCCGAGAGGCAGCGCAGGAGCGCATCCATGGCCAAACCCCCAGGCTGATGAGCACCGCTTGCTCTGGGCGAGAGGAAGGCAGAGCGCAGCCTAGAGGGGAAGGCGCCTGCTTGATACCTGGTATCTGAGCAAACAGAGCAGGACACACGCTGGTGTCAGGGGCCAAGCAATCCATGGCAGCATTTCAGTGGGATCAGGGCAGGCACCCGGAGGAGAGCCCTAGGCTGGGCTGGTGGAGCTGCAGGTGCCGTGCCACCTGGCAGTCGGTCTCACTGCTGGAGCCTGCTAGTAGTGTGGCAACGCTGTGTTGTCCTGCCCCATGTCCTGCTGCTGCTCCTCTGCAGCTCTAGTCCAAACTCAGGGAAGCCCTTGCTGCTGCCCATCCGTGCAATCAGGCAGGGCTGAGCTTTTAGTGCTACTTAGCTGGGCAGCTCTTTGGATAAGGGATTGTCCACGAGCTCCTGAGTCAACCCTGGGTCTTCTAGACGGTCCTTTCTGCCACTGGGTCCTCCCGTGCCGGTCGTACCTGGTCACCCTAGAAAGGGCCAGGGCCTGGGCTCCGTGCGTCTCCGAGAGGTCAGTCTGGCATAGCGCTGGTGTTGGCGGAGGAAAGCTTGTTTGCCAGTTCACAGCTGCCCTCCACCAGCCCTGCCGTGGCTGCCTTACCAGATCACTGTA